TTTAAGTTTTCCTATCATATAGAAAAAAATGAAGTACCTCTAAAGGAAAGGATCTTAAAATGTTCTTAAAGTATTTCATATTAAATATTTATTTCCTGCCTAAATAAAACATATTAACCACTGGTTGCCCTTTAGTCAAGACATAAATATCTAATATGTGAAAATAAAAAAAATTACTATTCAAATCAATATTAAACGGAAAAAGCTATATCATATATGTCTATAAAAAGTAGAAATGATTTTAGCAAATGTGCTGAAGTTCAATATAAATTGAATTAAATTTTCGATATCATTCACATATGTGCATATAAACATATAACTAAGAAAAAATGAAAAACACAAAAATGTTAATAGTTATTATCTCTGGATAGTGAGGTTATGAATAATTTTGATTATTTTATAAATTTCTGATTTTGTAAATTTTCTAAAATGGACATGTTACTCTTGTAATCCAAAAAATATTTTGTTTAAAAAACCCACTATCTATGATGTAAAAATCTATATGTGCATTTCTAGTAACATTGCCAAAACAGTGAATCTAAGATTTAAGTCATAAGCCTTGGCCTGTGCTAGCAATGTACTTTAACACATCATGATCCTCTGTTAAAATACCCAAGTTTCCGAATTATATTTGGGGAATAAAATGAGTAGTTAGTATCAATATCTCCAAACAGTCAATACCACCAGACTTTAAGATATGGAACAGAAGATTTTTGAAAAAGTTCAGTTATATACTGCTCAAAAACAATCAAAATAAAAAAGAAACAGAAAAATATGCTTTTCATATGTAGAGGTTTTGTTTTAAGGTAGAGATACACACCTTATCTTTCTCTTTATTTGGTTGGTCCTGATTTGTACCCTTTATAATTAAACCTTAATAGTAATTATAGTGCTTTCCTGAGTACTGTGAGTCATTTTAGCTAATTATCTAACTAGAAGGGGTCGTGGGAACCCCCAGATTTGTAGCCAGTTGGTCAGACATGCTGATGGTGGAGGGATCCGTGAAGTGTGGTTGGAGTCTAAATTAAGGGCAGTCCTGTAGGGTACCACGCCCTATAACTTGTGGTTATGACTGTGCTAACTCTGGGTGGTCAGTGCCAGAATTGCCCTGCAGTACACCAGCTGATGTCAGAATACCTATCAATGTACTGAGAGCATTAATATCCCCATTTAAAAGAAGAACGGTGGAGGAATATGTGATATCTGCCAAAGATTACAGCTGGGCTACAAATACCTCAGGAGAGTCGTTCTCATGAGGCTAATAAGTAGTTTGCAGAAAGACTTAAGGTGGGGATGATAAAAAGTTATTACTTTGCTTCTTCCTTTAAGATTATCTAAGTAAGAAAAAAAGTGATGGAGAATGAATCAAACGAATGGGGAAAATGGCAATTGTGTATACATAAAAACAATAGATTGCAGGTGTTCAATGCAATTAATACCTGTAGGTTGTCGGACTGACATTGATTTTCCGCGGTACACTGCAGGACTCAAACTTGTTAGCCAGAGTGACATTGTTTCCGAAAAGACAGTAACGTGGCATTTTAACTCCAACAACTCCAGCAAAAACTGATCCAGAATGCAGTCCAATTCGCATCTGAAAGCAAAAAATAACACCATGTTCCCAGTGACTGGTGAAACACTTCCCACTTGTCAGTGTTGTTTGAATGCTGTCTAAATTATTTTACCATTTGTCCTCACCACTCCACCCGTTTCCTCAAAACCTCCAGCCAGCTTCCTCCTACTCCACATGTGCAATTAAAAATTACTAGTGCAGAATCAGCAGTCACACCTCAGAACTCTCCTCCATTTATGTGGTTAGGTTAATTACACGGACTATCTTTATTGTGCCTGTCTTTAGTGTCTGAAACAAATTTCCATGCACACCTATCACGGTCACCACAGCAACACAACAGAGAGTCCATGAGCTGTTTATGTGAAACTTCTCTGTCCATCAAGTGAGATTGACATAATTTCTGGACTTCAGGAGTCGTTTCCCAGAACACTGATGGAGAAGGGCAGATGAAGTTAGCTCTAAGGATATAAAATGTGTGTTTTAGACATTTTGCCTTAAAATAACTTTTTGCCAAACATTATCCCACTATTCAAATGACTAACAACTGGGTAAAGGAAATTGTAATATTTAAGTAGAAAATAACAGAGAAAGGAGAAAGCAGGAGTTGCTTAGGTCTAGATTTCAGTGACTACATACACTAAGCTAAAAATGTGGACCCATGGAAAACCAGAGTTGTACCGCGCCTACCTATAAGAGGCAGTCTGGGATATGCTGGGGCAAAAGTTTAGGGATCCTGAAAGTTATCGATGATTTGGAGAGCCATTAAGACAGAATACTTTAAAATGGGATCTTCTAGAAGATTTGATTACATGATTAAAGGGTGCACGAATTCTTAAATTACTGCTACTATGAAGCAAGATAAAGTGGGGATATTTTAACTGACAACCAGATATCATATTCATTATTTTCAAGTTCTATGTTTAGTTGACCATTTGAAAAATTTTATTAGATATATACATTTTGAACAAAGGCCAAGTACTCAGTAACTTAGATATAATTTAGAAATCAGAAGACTCCAGTTCTACCTAGTTTTATAGCTAATTTCAGATATCTGCTAGAAAATTTCCAGAATTGCTTGCCTTTAAGATGTCATACCATGAATCCTACAAAATTTTTGAACTAAAACACTAGATTATGGATTGGGAGATTTGCACTGTAAACGAAACTTGGCTAGTAACTAGCAGTCGGACTTTCTATAAGTATCTTTTCTTCCCTCTGATTATTTTTTCAGCTATAAAATTCAGGGTTGGATTATTTTTAAAGTCCTTTCTTCATCAGAGTTTTACCTTAAGCAGTAAAATTTAGATGTATATTATATCTTGCTTTTTCTTCTTTAGGATGTGATTTTACACGCATAACAATTATACAATATATATTCAAAAAAAGAAGTTGAGCATTTTTTCAAATATTTATTGGTCATTTTTCTACTTTCTTTTGAAAAACTTCTATTCATTTCTTCTGCCCACTTTTTAATGGGGTTGTTTGTTTTTTTCTTGCTGATTTGTTTGAGTTCTTTGTAGATTCTGGATATTAGACCTTTATCAGATGTATAGTTTGCAAATATTTTCTCCCTTTCTATAGGTTGTCTATTAAGTCTGTTGATTACTTCCTTTGCTGTGTGGAAGCTTCTTAATTTTATTAAGTCTCATTTATTTATTTTTTTTGTTGCTGTATTTGTGGTCTTAGTCATAAATTCTTTGCCTAGGCCAAGGTGTAGAAAAAATTTCCCTATGTTTTCTTCTAGAATTTTAATGTTTTAATTTCTTATATTTATGTCTTTTAGCCAGCTTGAATTAATTTTTGTATATGGTGAGAGGTAGAGGTCCTGTTTCTTTCTTCTGCATGTGGCTATCCAGTTTTCCTAGTATCATTTATTGAATAGGGCTTCCTTCCCCCAGTGTATGCTGTTGTCTGCTTTGTCAAAGATTAGTTGGTTGTAGGTAGATGATTTTATTTCTCTGTTCTCTATTCTGTTCCATTGGTCTATGTCTCTACTTTTATACCGGTACTATGCTGTTTTGGTTACTATAGCCTTGTAGTATAATTTGAAGTCTGGTAATGTGATGCCTCCAGATTTGTTCTTTCTGCTTAAGGTTGCTTTGGCTATTTGAGCTCTTTTTTGGATCCAAATGAGGCACAGAATTACTTTTTCTAGACCTGTGAGATAGGACATTGGTATTTTCATGGGGATTGTGTTGAATCTGTAAATTGCTTTAGGCAGTATGGACATTTTCACTAATCATCAAGGAAATGCAAATTAAAACCACAATGAAATGCCACCTCACCCCTGTCAGAATGGCCAGAATGACTTTTTTTAATAAAAAGTCAAAAACAGTGGGATTATAACATAGTTAAAAAATGTTGATGTGAATGCAGAGAGACAGAAATGCTTATACACTATTGGCGAGAGCGCAAGTTAGTACAGCCTCTATGGAAAATAGTATGGAGATTCCTCAGAGAAATATAGGTAGACTTACCATTCAATCCAGCAATCCCACTGCTGGGTATCTACCCAAAGGAAAAGAAGTCATTTTATAAAAAAGACACCTACACTTGAATGTTTATCACAGCACAATTCACAATTGCGAAGATGTGGAATCAACTAAGTGCCCATCAATTCATGATTGGATAAAGAAAATGTGATATATATACACACACACACACACACACACACACACACATACATACACACGTACACACACCATGGAGTACTACACATTCATAAAAAGGAATGAAATAATGTCTTTTGCAGTAACTTGGATGGAACTGCAGACCATTATCCTAAGTGGAGTATCTTAGGAACGGAAAAATAAACAGCACATGTACTCTCTAATAATTGGGAGCTAAACAGTGGGCACACATGGGCACAAAGAGATGCAAAGAACATTGGAAACCAAGAAGCGAGGAGGGCAGGAGAAGTGAGGGGTAAGAGGTAAAAACTTATCTATTGGGTACAATGAGCACTATTCTTGTGATAGGCACACTGAAAGCCCTGACTTAAGCCTTATACAAGGCATCCATGTAACAGAAACATTTGTACCCCCTTAATATTTTGAAATAAAAAAATTTTTAAAAATTTTTAGAAAGGTGAGTAAAGACTATCTTCTGTCCACAAATATTAGCTACAACTTTACCACTTTTAGATTGAAAAGTTTTTGCCCTCTTTGAGGGCTCTTCTGGTTAAACAGTTTCTCTCTATGTACTTAGTTATTTCAGCTTTTTATATGAGAAATATACCATAGCATTTTTAATCTTTTTTATTTCGTAATTAATATGTAAATACTTTCTCCTCCTAAAAGTCCAAACAATGCAGATAAAGCAGATGATCCTCTGATTCCTTCTGTGCAGCTCTCCCTACATACCCTTCTCCAGCTCTGAATGTCACTCTCAGGACCAAAGTTTTATCAGAAAGCTTTCAAGATTCATGAGCAAGAAAATGATCCAAAGTTAAGATACACGTCATGCCCTGAACACATCTCTTTTCACTGGTAACAGACTTCCATGTGCAATAATGAAAGGCAAAGACAGAATTCTGGCTCTCAGAAAAAGTTTGGACAGGAGCCTGCTGAAGGCATCTTCTATTTGGAGACTACTTTTGGCATAGCCCATTTCTTATCATAGGCTTCCAGGAATAGGAAAGGAGGTGACAGACACCAGAAGTTTGTTTCCATGTTCGCTCACCACTTATTTTCACTGTCTCATTCAGCCCTCTGGTCTCTGTCACCAATCTACCTGCGGGTTTCCAAGCCCGACTGAATGGATGTCAGTGAGGAAATCAATGGGAATAAGTGAGTAGATGAATGATTTGCACATGTGACATGATGGAGAAAAGGATAGAGATTGCAAAGAAAAAAAGAGAATATTTTCTATTGTTTCACTTAGATTTCATCCCATGAGGTAGCAGGACAAGAAGGATAAAAAGCCCAGGCTTTGAAGCCAGATGGACATGATTCCACATTCTGACGCATGAGACTTGACTGCTCTTGTCCCTCCAGGAGCTGTGAATTCCTCTTCATAATGTTGTTATATGGAATAAATGAGACAATGTTTAAGTCATAATATGTCCCCTTCTGATACATGTTAATGCTTCCCCGTTTACTAAAAATACTCTCCATTTTGCCACTGCGATGTTTCACAGGTAGCTCTTAAGGCCATCAGATATTTCCCAGGACTGTAGGTTATACATATAAAAAGGTATGATTAATGTCACACTTTACAGGTTATTAAAGCTAACCTATTATTACTCAGGTAACTATGAATTATTTTTCCAATTGCAAAATCTAAAAATACATTTCTATAAATAACAAAAATTGTGCCATTAATTCCCTCACCCAAGCATATACATCGTAATTACAAAATCAATTTATGTAGAAATCACTGGTCTTATGTTAATCATTAACTTATATTAATAGGCTGGATAGTTTTAATATTTACTTTGATGTTATGAATTCTCTCACAAAAATTAGAAAAAAAAATACATAATTCCATTCTAAAAACATAATTATTGAAATTAAGTCTCAAAAAGTCAGACATTTTGGTACTTTTAAAAATCAGCTGCAAATTATTTCACATTCCTCTTATTGAGACATAGAGTCGGCCGGGCACGGTGGCTCACGCCTGTAATCCTAGCACTCTGGGAGGCCGAGGCGGGTGGATCGCTCGAGGTTAGGGGTCTGAGACCAGCCTGAGCAAGAGTGAGATCCCATCTCTACTAAAAATAGAAAGAAATTAGCTGGACAACTAAAAATATATAGAAAAATTAGCCAGACTTGGTGGTGCATGCCTGTAGTCTCAGCTACTAGGGAGGCTGAGGCAGAAGGATTGCTTAAGCCCAGGAGTTTGAGGTTGCTGTGAGCTAGACTGATGCCACGGCACTCTAGCCCAGGCAACCGAGTGAGACTCTGTCTCAAAAAAAAAAAAAAAAGAGACATAAAGTCTATGCCCCCTCTCCTCTGGACAGCCTTACGATTGCTCTGACCAATAGAATATAGTGGAAGTGTCACCATTTGTCTCCCAGCATTAGGTTATAAAAGGCATGCAGCTTCCACCAATCTTTCTTAGCAGGACACAAGCCACCCTGTAAGAAATGTGACTACTCTGAGACTGCCATATTGGCACACCACTTGGGCTGACAATCCCAGCTGAGCCCAACCTTTCAGCCATCTCCACCAAAGAACCACGCATGTAAGTGAGGCAGCCATCTTGCAATGGATCCTCCAACTCCAAGTACGGCAATCCAAACATATCCACACATTCACCCACATCCACAACCACTGAGATCCCAGATATTGTGGAGCAACGACAAGGCATCCCTTCTATGCTTTATGCAAATTTTTGATACACAGAACCCATGCATAATAAAAGGTTTGCGGCTTTACACCACTAAATTTAGGAACATATGCTACACAACAACATATAAATGGTTTGACAACAGAGTTAAAAAATACTTATGAAGGCTTAGACATATGGTTTCTATTATGGTTAAACAGAGCCAAGGCTAAACCTCTAAATACCATAGTTTATTTACAAAATGTTTTTTTTTTCTTTCTTATGTGTATATTTTATAGCATACAAGGTAAGATTCTACATTACTTCAAAGGCCTATTTCAGAAGGTCATCAATTGAGGAGTGTTCTATAAAAATTAGGTGGCAGATTCACTACAAGTGGGACAAATAAAGGTAATCTGCTTATGTTCCATCCATTAAACCAGTGCCTAGCATGTTAACTTTATTTTCTCAACTGCAAGAAGACATTATTCTGGGATCTGCTCATCTGGAAATTTTGGAATGTTATGTACAGTGGAAAATATCGGTGGAGTAACAATCAATACCCATTAGAGTGTAATGTCCTCTCCTGCAGGTGTTGGAAAACTTGCAGCTTCTAAATGCATTCAGGTTTGGTGAATCAGATGCACTTGCATGAGATTTGGAAGATACGATTTTTGCTATGACTGCACATCTTTTGCTTCCAGGCTCAAGCACAATTGTGGAAGGCTTTGTGTTTTCTATGGCACACTTAGCAGAGAGTCCATGTCCCAGTCACTCGTCTTGTGATGGTCATGATGCAGAATTGCCATCTTGTTGATTCAAATTACAGTAGGTGCAGTTTTTTTCTGTAGCCAGTAGTAGAAGTAGCAGCTTTCTAAACACAGTAGTTTCCTGATTGTGACTGTGGTGGTATAGCTCTGGAATCAGCTTCCAGATCAGGAAAAAGCAGTGGATCTGAAGTGTGGTTTTAGGAGGCATTTTTTGAAAGATGGCTTCTTCTGTCCTCTCAATGAATCTGGAAGCCATTTAATACCCCACAGGAAATTTATTCCTGCCTAAACAAGTTAGAGAAGATTTTGCTCTCTGCAACTAAAGCCCAACTGATACACCATTCTTTTGATAATCAGCTAGTATGTATTTGTTCCCATGACATCTCTTGGACAATACTTCTTCTGCCTTACCTTGATAGGTTCCCCATGGGGAGACATGACTTCATCAGAGAGTTCCATCATCTTCAGGGCCATCAGTGCTATCTGAACAGCATGGGTATCACTCTCTTTGTGTAATCCCCCAGCTACACAGTATGCATCGCCAATGGTCTCCACCTAGACATAATATAGTTTCCACATTATAACAAAAAGGAAGAATCACAGCCTACAGCATACAGCAGAAATTAAGAATCATATAGCAGAAATCTCAGTGCCCAGGCCCTATGGAGAATCAGGGTCAATCAGATACCCTCGGAAAAGGCTTTCCCTTTCAGGAAATTCACAAGACTTAGACGCCTTACATCGGGCACTGCACTGAGAGGTAGCACAGTCCTGTGGACACTCTAGAAGGTGGCTTCTACTCTCAGAAGTGTCACTGGCTAATCATATCATATAACCTCTTTTTCCCACCCCACCATGTAAAATAGTTTTTGTAGAGATAAATGATATATTTTGGAATTAAAAGAAATTGTCTAAAGATATTGGGATCATTTACTCGTTTTATATCCTCCTCATAAAACAGTGTTTTGCATGAAATCACTATTCAATAAATGTCATATGAATGTAGTAAAAATGTGCAGTGTAAAACCAAGATATTAACAGTCATAAGAGCAAAAGGGATGTGGCTTTTCTAAAGGACTCTTGGGGTTCTTACAGCAATTATCAAATGTCTACATGAATATTAATTACAAAGTATAGAAACCAAGATGTTGAACTAGGAGATAAAAACAACAGTATATGTAAGGCTATTGGAAATCAAGCTATTCTCTAAACCTCAAGTAGTAATATTATTATTATCATCATCATTATTTTTATTGTTACAGAAAATTTTTATCTGTGATACTGGCTACAGAAAGTAAATAGTTAATTTAAATCTACAACTAATGCCCCTAATTCTAATAGCTGCATTTTTCTTCTCCTCTAAATATTTATTGTAACTCATAAGAGCATATTATTCTTCTTACCCAAAGTCTCCATTTGCAAAAGGATGAGGATGAAAAAGGAAAAAAAGAAAAGAGGAGCAAACCTTCACAAATTCCTCATCATACACTCAGAGTAAATGTTGACACCCTTATAATGGCTCCCAAGTTCTTGACCCATCTTTCTGCTAATCTCTGAAGTTATCTTCTCATCTTCCATCTCGCTCGATACGTTCCAATAGCACTGGCCGGCTATTATCCCTCAAACTTCCCAAACATGCTCCCGTTTGCTATTCTTTTGCCTGGAACAACCTCTCTCCAAATAACCATGTGGCTTGTCCCTCATTACCTTCAGTCCCTGCTAAAACCTCACCTTATTAGGAAGGCCCATCACCCTTTATCTTCTGTACCTCTTCCCCTGAACCTGCTTTATTTTCCCTCTAGAATATTACACCAACTGCAATATTATAAGTTTACTCATTTGTTTATTGTCTTTCTTTCTCTCAATAGGATGTAAGGTCTCTGAGTTCATCTATTTTATTAACTCTTATGTTGCCAGTGCTCAGTAATGAATGAACCAGACAGAAACGCCCCCCCTCCCATAAGCTTTTCCTCAGCAATGAGTACATAAGAAGCACTCATCATGATGGCTATCACGGGTTCTCAGTAAATACACTAACTAGAAGATCTGCCTCCACCCCTCCTTGGTGTCAGGGGCTTCTTCTGTCTGCTCTTGGAGAATCTTATATAATACATACTTGGGCAGAAGCAGGCATCCATCCATCGTGTCATATGGAAATCTGGCATTTGTCCTTTCCACCCTCCTTTCTCTCTCCCCCCACGTGTGAACTCTCCTCATAGCAACTGCACCCTCTACCTGTCTCCAATGCCCACCCATGCTGGCAAATGCTGGATAACCAGTAAATATTTGCTAACGCAATGGGTAAATGAACACAGAAAATAAACAGAGAAATGGTTAAAAGATTGAAAGACAGAAAGAAAATAAAATTAAATAAAGCCATGGTACGATCACGTCCTGGAATAAATAAGGTTGACTCTTCCTTGGAAGCCATCGCACTCATAGGTCTGCCTATAATTATGCATTTTGCATATCTGAAGTTTATTCCATGCTTAAGACCCTTCCTTATTTGTAATCAGCTATCGCCACATGTTTTCATGCAAAATGAGAAGTGAAGAAATGAGAAGGTGAGAATGAGGACTGGGAGGTAAGGTGATTTGTTACCTAACTCCAACTATAGTTGGATTAATCAACTGCTGTCCTTACAGTAAGAAGCATAGCTTCAAAATACTTGATAGGATATTTGGAAAGTAAGGAGCATAGCTTCAAAATACTTGATAGGATATTTGGAAAGTAAGGAGCATAGCTTCAAAATACTTGATAGGGTATTTGGAAACTAAACTCTATACCCTTGATAGAAATAACCAAATGTAGAAGAGCGCTACTTCTGTTAGCAATAACAGCAGTTTGCAAAGGAGAAAAAGACTTCCTTCTCACAATCCTAAAAGGAGACATTCTCAAGTTAGAAAATATCTACAAATAAATGGAGTGGATTCCACAAGAGGCCATCAAACTTAACCTAACTGAAGCCAATTATTTTATCTGTAATTATACATAGACCTCTTTTTTTCCCCAAGAGAATCATAGCTCTGTCTGGAATTTCCTGTTAGAAATTTCAAAAAGGAAGGTTTTACTTCTAGCATCCAGAACAAAACAGGCAGGGCTTATGTATTCCCATGAATAGTATTTGTTTCCTCTTCAATAATTTATTTATTTCATGTTGGGTTAAGCTCTGGAATGTTAGATTATTATGTAGCAAATTAAGAAGATGATTCAAGCCATATAAACGAGGAACATGCTTTATTCTTAGTGCCAATATCTAAAACAAGGGAAAATAATTTAAATCAGTAAAAACTATTTCAATTCTAAAGAAGGTAGAACCTGAAATCTCTTCACTAGCTCTCTAACTAATTTTTACATTAAAAAAAATAACTTATTAAGTATAAGTCGCTGCTGTATCCCTACAGCCTAAAATGATGCCTCACTGATTCTAGGCTCCCAATCCACCCCGGATGCTTAATGAATAACATATACTATCTACCATAATCTTTACAACAATCCTGTTCATGAAGATTTCAGGACATAATGTGTGTATAAACTCTGTCAGTGGATATTATTTTCTCTGTTTTAGAAATGATGAGAAAGGTTAAATTGCTTAGTTTTCAAAGCAAGTAAGATAGAAAACAAGATTTTAAGATTTCCCTGTATAAGTCATAGCTTGCATTATCTCATGCTCAATAATTCAACTGGGTTTCCACAGTGAAGTGGCAGGTCCTATCTGCTCTTCTTTCTCTGCTCATTTTTTGAGACGACAATGTGGCAGTCCTTTCATGGAATAATTATCTCTGTTTTCTAGCAGCTTCAGAGCTATTTTTGGCTGGAGAACACTCACATAATTAATTTACAATGCCTGCTCCCAGGATGTGGCTTGCACGACCCTGCAGAGAAGGCCTTTCACTTGCATTATAATTCAGGACCAAGGCACAGTACTTCCCTGCCTCCACACCTCCCACTGCCACCCCAGTGACTTTGGCAGGTCAAATGGTCATTGCCCTGCCCCACCCCTACCTTGTAGACATCCAGCTCTCCACACTGCTGGTCAAAGCGCGTGTAGAGTGCATTGAGCATGGTGATGACCTGCAGCGGTGAGCACTGGGAGCAGATGGCAGTGAACCCGACAATGTCCGAGAAGAGCATGGTGACATTACTGAACTTCTTGGCTTGCACAACTTGCCCTTGCCACAGCTGCTGAGCAACCTCGCAGGGAAATATAGAGCAGAGAAGATCTACTGTCTTTTTCTTCTCCTCCTCCAGGGCTTGGTGGGCTTGCTCCAGGGTGGCCTTCAGCTTCCCCAGCCTCTTCTTCAGACCATCTTGAGCTCGGGCTTGTTCCCCTATCAAGACCACGTCCCTCAGTGCATTGTGAATTGGGATGTCTGACAGGTAGAGCCCTCGTCCTGTAAAATCTTCTAATCTGTCTACACAGGGTGAGCCCAGAAACAAGATAGCACTGGATTCGACAATGTAGATCATTTGGCCTTTGAGGTCCATGACCTGTGAAGCAAAGGAGAGCCAATTGTGGTGTATTCAAGTTTTGAACATCTTTCTGACACTTAAAAGGAGAGGAAGTAGATACAGTGATAATCGCTTTGTGTTTAAAACCTAATATTTTCAACCTACTATAAAAGAACATGTTTCCTTAAAGTTCCATTTGCAATGAATTCTAAAATGCATGTAGACATTCGAAGAACTTACTGCAGTATACTCTACACAGAAATCATGATTTACAATGAACAATGCAAAAAATTCTTGCTTCAAGGCTTTCTCACTAAGTAGCATGCTGATACTTTTGCTACTACATTCTTCTCATATTCTCATTTGGTTAATCTGGAGCCATATTTTTTGAATAATGTGGTACTCATGAAATTGTATCCTTCCTTCTTTTTTTCTTTCCTTCCTCTCTCCCTTGCTCTCTCCTTCCCTCCCTTTTATTTTCTTCTTTGTTTTTCTTTTTTTTCTTCATTCTTCTTTTTTTAAAAAAATCTCTCCTGTTTTAGCATGCCTCTTTTTTCTTCCCTTCTTCTCCCATGAGCTACTTGTTCCATCTGGCAAGTACAAAAGTTAAAAAGACCCCAAAGGTAAGATTTTTGTTTTAATATTTTGTTCTTCTATCATGAGTAGCCCCCCAAGCTATTTTTTGGAAGTTATTATTTTTCTAGACTTCTGCATGAGGTATCTGAATCTTGTAAGAAAGGCTATCTCCTTATTTCTACTTTGCCTTAAGAACCTAACCAACCCTGTCCTGCAGGACACAAACAAAAGAACAAACCAGCCAACAGAAAGGATTGTACCCAGGGCTCCTTGAGAGAAGTGGGGCTTCAAGTGATCGCCCGGGATCACAAGATTTACTTGTCCGCAGGTGGACAAATATGTACCTGTGTGTTCACTGTAGCAAAAAGTCAAAAGCAACCCAAAAGGCCTTCAGTAAGGAACTAGTTAAATGAAGCAGAGCACAACCATACATTAGACTATCACTCAGCCTCAGAAATAGTGAACTAAACTTATATCCAATGATGTAGAAAGATGCCCAAAACACATTGTTCAGTGATAAAAAAAAGTTGTGAAATAGTATTTTTTTGTTTTAACCAAAGTGTATATAACTAATGTTTTTAATTTTTTGCTGCAATGGACATCTTTAAGTATTACTCATTTTTTTAACATTCAGATATATGATTTTTATGATAGAAAAATAATAATAAAACTGTTTTGCACTTGGGGAAACAAACCATGCTTCTGCTTGGGGTTATGGTGACTAAAGCCTCTCTCTCTTAGCTTTGCTTGTACTACCAACTATGAGTTAGCAAACTTTCTTTCCTGAGACTAAATGATTATCAAAGTTCTCTACCATGGGATAACAGAATATGTTTGCACCCCCACATTCTGTAACAATCAAATTATTTTTCTATGCTTATTAAATATTGATTAAAAATCCATTTAGTTGCCTAGCATAAAAATGAGCAGTTTTTGTTAATTGTAAAACAGTATCTCTTATTATTTGAACTAAGCTATTTGATAAAAATTGAAAGCATATTTTATATAAAGAATTATTTGATTTAGTTATAAAATAATAAGGATTTTAAAAGGCACACTGCATTCAATAAATATCTGTGAAGTAATGAATCAAGTAAGCAAGTAAATGAATGCAGAAAGAATTTTTTTTTAATTCTAGCCTTAAAATTACTTTAAAGTTGTTTTAGACATAAATATTTTATCAAAGCATTTCGAGTGATGCGTATGTTTTTACCTTTTGTTTCTAGTCCTTAAATATGAAATAATTGATTTCATATTCAAGAGAATAGCATGTTTTCCTTACCCTTGAAGATTTCTTCGCAGAGTTGTCCCATCTCCTCACGCGCACAACAAATTGCATATTCAGCATGGTCATGATCCCGCTAAACGTCTGGTTGATTTTCGGAGTCAGAATTTCAAAGTATTCTTCAAAATTAGGCTTTCCTTGAAAGTCTCTTCTGTTCATCAGTCTTCTAATGCCATTGCCAAATTGCAAAATCGCCATGTCTTTGTCGAACATGAAATGGAATGGAAACGTCTTACAGAAGAGAGACGCAGGGATCACCAGGGAGGACTGGGGCTTGCTGGGGGACAGGGATGGTTTGGTGCTTTTCACGTGAACCGAGTATAACAGATAGGGCTGATTAACAAACTCGCCGCAGTCATTGTGGAAGCAGGGCGGCATTAACGACACTTTTACTTCGGTTTCGTACAATACTCGAGCAGCTGCCTTAATGACGCCGGGAAGAATCAGGGAGGTGGTTCTCTTAGGGAAGAAATAATAAACATTTAGGAAGTCCTGATCTTTATCCAGGCACAGAATGGAGGCGTCCTCAAGCCTGCCCCTCTGTCCCGCTTCTTGGCAATGGCTGCTCTGTTTCAGAAGGGTGCCGAAGCTATTTAAAAAATCTTTAAGGGTGCCTCCAACCACGCCGAGGATGTGCTCATCTTCCTCGTAACATATGTTAAAAAGCTCTTCACCCAGAGATTCTTTGATGATCTCCACTGGAACTCCTGAAAGCATACAAATACGTTTTCTGCCATATCGAATATGCCACCGTGGTAGAACTGTGCTGTTACTCCTATTTTCAACGCTGTGTCATTGGCTGACTTAGTTCCCTTTATATCTGGTAATAAGAGTCTTAACCAAAATTAAACGCTTATATTCAAATTATCTACATAGATTAGCTTCTAAAATTCTTATAACTCTGAATAAAAATCCCCAATCAGTTAATTTAAAAAGAATGACCAATTAAGTATAATATAAAATTTTTTATCTCCCTTAAACTTAACAGAACAATTAGAATGCCAGGATTAAGTCCAGTTCAGAAAAAGTCCTCCCATCTTTTTATTAACAACAAAAGCAATACATCTTCATGAAGGGACTCTCCCCTCAGAGAGCATCCAGATATTGGAATTACTTTAAAATCCCTGATTGTGAAGCTCAATTTTGTCTAGAGATGACTTTAAAGTATTTTTTTTCTGAGTAAAATAGCATTTTTGTTGTTTAGCATGACCTGAATATTTGCTTAGAATATATTATTTACTTTCTATAGCTTCTCCTTCCATAACCTCCTTTAGTTTTTATATTCTGTGCACCATATTTTTCTCATGTGTAATGTAGGAGAAACAATAGTGCCCCCTTCACAGCACTGTTGTGATATGTGGGGATTATGTTCAGAATAGCACTCAGCTCCTAGCAAGGGCTCAATGGACATTAGTTATTTTCATCATTATTATAATTTTTAACGTTTTGTACTTTTAGAAAGATGGAACCTCTTGGTCCATGCACTCAAACTTTGGAAAGGACAGGAAGACAAAATGACTCATCTAATTTTCCCCCAAACTTACTAATGTGAGAACATTGTTAACCCTTTTTCCTATAAATCGCTTCCAACCTTTAAAAACACTCTTTTATTTTTATTTTAGTTTGTTGAGTACAATTTTTTACGCATAAATGAGGAACAGTTAGGTTCAAAATCAAAGCCTGTGAATATCTGTGAGTCAGCTTCTCATACAGCCTTAGAGATTTACCACCAAGCAAACATAAAAAGAGAAAATGTTTTAGGCCAAACAAAAACATAGTATGAAAAAGAGTTACTCTTTACATTAACACAGTATATAATATTGAACACTTCATACTGGGAGTCACCAATAAATACAAAAGAATATTTTTGGAGAATATTAGTTATATAGTTATAGGATATACTTCTTAATTTCATATACTTAATTCTATTACCTGCTGCAATTGCTTGGTCTGCAATTATTTTTTCAAAGTCTTCTCTTTCCAAAGATTTCCTAGAAATATTCAATATCTTAAATTACAAACTGATAAATGAATGCTAAAACTTCATATTATAATATACAGAAATAATGACAGAAAATAATTTACCTTTTCTGTAGAGGCAAATCTTGACTATGAAGTTTACAGGAAGGGAGCGATGATATGCACAATCCAAAACAATGTTGGAAACCCCAATACACGACATAGAGGATATAGAGTGTTTCACCATTCTTTATAAAGCATATTTGCCTTTTAAATAAACTTTCCATAGGCTAACATAGATGATCCTGACTTACAATTTTTTGACTTTAAGTTGCTGTGAAAGCAATATGCATTCAGTAGAAATTGTACTTTCAGTTTTGTTTTTTGATCTTCCTCCCTAGTAGCAGCATGTGGTATGATACTCTCTTGTGATACTAGACAGCAGCATGAAACCAAAGTTCCCAGGCAGCCACATGATCACAAGAGTAAGCAACCAATATTCTACAATGCATTGTACTGCAAGATGGTTTTGCCCAGCTGTAGGCTAATGTTTAAGTGATCTTGAGCACATTTAAGTTAGGCTAGGCTGAGCTACAATATTCAGTAGATTAAGTGCATTTAATGTATTCTCGACTTAGGACATTTTCAATTCATGATGGCTTTATCAGGACGTAACTCATGTAGGTTGAGGAGCACCTGTGCTAAAGAGAGTCTGCACTGTCTAGCAGCCAGGAGTGTGCCATGGCCAAGGAAAGGATGGTAATTAATCAGCTCAGGGGTTTTCTGATAACTTAACCAAAAAAAAAAATCTACATACAGGTGGATTTCACTTTTAAGTAATACTATTTTTTATAACGCAAATACATATTATTTCTTGTTTTTGCATTTAAGATTCTTGATATTTATATCTCAGACATCATTATATTAAACCTTTGTATAAAAGGTTGTTATTGTATGAAAAATTAATAAAAGAAATCTATTCAATTACTTCATTTGTTTCTGTAGCATAGAAGTGGATAATGGCATATATTTTGATTGATAGAAGTTTTCCGTAATTTCAATTGGACAACTTTTTGATTCATATGTGCCTAATTGTTTTTTGATGATTGTTTTGATAACGACTAAATTTGCCAAATTACTCGAACATATTAAAAGTCACCTAAGGTTCTATTTGTGGTTCAAATTGCCATTAGCCCAGCCAAGTTTATGAACAGGCACACAACTAAAATTTTAAACATATTTCAGTAAAACATGGTGCATGTTGAAAAGTTTCAGAAAGAAATATTTTCAAGAAGAAAAATCGCTCAGTTTACCACTTTATCACATAAAGTATATTGCTCAAAACTACTTAACTATGCCTATACAAATGTATATATGCTTCAAAATATTTAAAATGCTAGGTAGAAATAGTTTCTTATTTAAGTTGGTTGAGGATCCCTATATGATATGTCCATTTGGGATCTAGAGATCTCCAAATACCTTGTTATATATTTCTCTCTATTAACCAATCTTTAGATTTGCTTCTTTAGTTTATTTAAGCAACTTCAATTTTTTTTTTTCTAAAGAATAGTGGCAAATCTGCTCAGAGAACTCAGGCCCATGCTGCCATTTCCCAACACCCACTTCATGAGATGCGAGCAAAGTTTAGCTAGTCCAAATAGTGCACACTGCAATTCAAACTACGTCGGTCACCCTCACCTTCAAAAAATACCAGCAGGCATAAGCATGACACACACACTAGCAAATGCATGTGTGCACCACACACACACACATACACACACATCACAAAAGCCATCAGTTCACATGCATGATGATATGATCAAAAAAGAAACTAAGCAAAAACTCTCTATTCAACCAATTCAGAGAGATAAAATGACTGTACTAAAACTCATTCACTAAAACAAACAAAAAAAAAAGGTGGGGGGAGGCTCTAGTCATTCAATCAAGGACAGTTTATTGTTTGATATATTGGTTTTTTTGTTTTTCAAGTCACAGAAGATAATAAGTAGCACAAAAGGGTTAAAATGTGCTCAGCAGTTGGCAAATTGAGAGCCCTAGAGACAGCAGCTGACTGGGGAACAAGAAAGTGAAGGAAAAGCACAGAATCAAAGAGGATGCTCAGGAACTAAGAAAAGCAAAGCACAGTGGAGCCATTTAGCATATCAGCGGGTAGTCTTATGATGAAAAATGTTACTTCAACGACTGAATACTTATCACTAGCATCATCAGCTTTTTTTTCTTTAAGAAATTAGGGAAGCGGTAAAAGATTTTTCAAAATTTCCAAATGAAATGATTATTGTTTGCCTAACTTTTGAGATTTTTTAAAAAAGTGATACACTGTTGGGAACACATCCTAACTGAAAATCTGCATGAAGCTGTAGGAACATTTCAGAACACAAAGCCCTGAGAATAAATTTTGAGTAAACTGTCTGCCAAGGACTTCGGCAGACAGACACAGTAGCACAGCTAGAATGACTTGGGGCTACCTTATCAGCTTGACTGAGGATTAAGGTCAGAGGCGTTCTGGAATGCTTTCATGCTGCTCCCGCACACAGAGCCTCTGTCAGACACACAGATTCACACTCTCTCGTTCTGCGCCCGCCAGTGACCCCTTCTTGGCTTGGCCCTGCTGCCTGCAGCCTGGGAGCAGTTAGTCAGCAAGGAAAACGAAGCACAGATAATCCACAGGGCAGACTATCAACTCTCAAGTACGAGACAGATGAATGAATTTATAAAACAGTCCCGAAAACGGTACTGGTTTGCAAAACTTCAATGCTCAGTTCTGCAAATTTGAACTCAAGTATTTATTGTTATTTACAAATTAAATAATCCTTGAGATTTCAGGGATTCACAAACAGGGCCTATTAAATCGTCTACCAGCAGTAAATGTGCTACATTATATTTGAAAAATTATACAAATCAGATTTTTTAAAAAATTAGGACTTTATATTAAACCTCTTCAGAAACCTTTTTAAAGAAAATTTCTAAGAATACAAGAAAAAGAGTATTCTGATATTCAACAGTGCAACTAAAACTGGTTAGGAAAATACCGAAATATTTCCCTAAGGATTAATAGATAGCTGCTGCCCCAAGGCCCCTGAATCCCATTCTCTTTCCGCCTTGATCCTTCTACCTCCTCCTGATGTAGCTGCTGAAGTTTTAACATGTTGTTGAAATGTATGTACTAGCGATGGGGTGTCCGCTGGGACCCTGCTGGAACCTTTAGCCACATCCTTCAAGCAAGGAATCTGTTCTGATTGTTTGGTGTCCATGCCATATCTTTTGTTAAACATTTTAGAAATTATCCTTTAGTATGAAAGAACAGGCCTTATGAGAGCTTGTTAAAAATGGCAGCGTATAGTAATATGGTTTAAATCATGGGCTCTGAAAAACAAAGGCTTCAACCCCAGCTCTGTCTTTTCCTAAACAGCTATAAAATCCTAAACCCTAGTCATCTGTAAAATGTGAAAAATAAATGTACTTACTTTTAAATTTGTAGCAGATAAAAGGTTTCTGGCATACCATAATGACTCAGTGAAGGTTCATACATTCTAAAAGTGTTGGCTGTTAGTAGCAATGGCAGTAATTGTAACAAAAGGTTCAGACAACTGAAAAGGTTTGACTTACCTGCTTTCTTTTATTTTGTGCTTTGCCAATGTTCTCTGAAGTGCGAGGTTCAGCCGTTCAAACTGAAAATTGAAAAGAAATGTTTTCAGCATTCTCTTAAATAATGATTTATTTGAAAATATGCATTTGATAAATTCATCCTGTTTCTTTTGAAGAAATAGAAACATTATTACTTGAATGATGTGCGTTGTTAATTGACACTTTGCAAACAAGGACTGATTTTCTATGGGTTTTTCAAACCTGAGAAGAAACGAGCTTAGACTCATTTGAGTTTGGATGTGTGTTTTGGCCACGGGCTTTGCCTTTGCTGGTGGTCTCACTGACAGTCACAAAACTAAGACAGTCAAGCTAAGTCTGAATCCAAACAGAAGACTCCAATTTGGTAATGTCAGGCTTCTATAATATGGGAATTTGTGGGCATCACTTTCTCTGGGTCGGGAAATCTTGGACGAGCTGCCAATATTGCAATCTGAGTATGACTCAAGCCAAGCAAATTCCTGTTCCTTTCACAAACTCCATACCCAACCATCCCAGTGACCCTCTGCCCTTAACTACACATTCATATTTATGTTTCATATCTTTCAGTCTAGAAAATTCTGGAGTTATCTCCATCTCATCTTTTTTCTTAATCACTTAAATCTAATATCCCACCAAAGTCAGTTGATTTTTTATTTGAAATGAGTCTTGGGTTTAGCTTAACTTGTACTGATTTCATTTCTTTTGAACTAATAATATAGTTATAGTTTTACTCTCTTTTATTGATTTCTGAGTATTTCATTAGTTTTCCTATTTTACAAGGTATTTGTAAGTCTCCATACTTAAATAATACTTTTTGATTACAATTCTCTCTTTACAACTGTTTGTTTCTAATTAGTTGATAAGTGGGAAGCAGAGCACTTGATAAGCAGTGCTATAAATTTCTTAGCATCCCGTATAAAAATCATACATATCTATGTGGATATATGTAACAGTTGGTTCTTTCTGTAGCTTACCCAGAGGAAAATGAAGAATTTTTTGGCTACATTCCAGTTTGAGAAATTCCTTTTTCCTTAAGAACTATTTATATCTCCTGTAAAGTTTCCACCAGTCAAGTGAGGCAGTGAAGTTAAACAAAATAGAGCAAGATTCTGTTTTAATGAAATGAATTACGAAAAAGGCTTTGGCTTTAAAAGCATCTATACGGCTTGGAAAGGAAATTTAAAATTAATTGAAAGAAAATGCAATTGTTGAAAAGAAATAAAAGAAAATTTAAATTAACAAGGTAGAACAATTTTTTTTTAACCCTTCAGGGATAGAGAGGAAGGCTACATCTGCCATAGGATGAGAGGAAGGCTGGCAGGACACATACTCAGAGGGCAAATTCTCAGCAGGTCCTGGTAGGCTATATGTAAAGGCAAAGGGCAGGAAGTCTGGCTGGCATGGAACATGTTCAGGAAGGAAAATATGGCCATGTTTCTTAGTAGCCTTTCACATCAAGGAAAGAGGAAGGTAATATTAAATTGGCAAGACTGTAAACGAAATAGATCAACCTGGGTGCTTGAAAAGTTTAAATTTCTCAAGAGCCGTGTACTTGGTACAGTAGAAAGTTACTCTGACATTCCTAGCACCGGAGCATTTGTGTGGATACAAATCCATGCAATCTTGGGTGGCTGTGAGTTACTAATTCTTGCAAAAAATATTCATGTGGGAAAAGAGGTCATGGATAAATTGAGAGTTGCTGGCTTTGCATGTGAGTTCTCAGTTTTCCTTCACAGCATTTGCTACCCAACTTTAAAATGTTTCATTATCTGTTTCCTCCACTAGAATAGGAGCTCCAAAAGGGCAAGGAATGTCATTACACAATCTGCCCATAGGAGATGTTCAATACATATTTATTGAATTAATGAATGAGTGAAATTACCCTGTCGGCTATTCAAAGTCTTGAAGGCTGAATCTATAAAAACGTATCAGTGAAGTGATAGAGCCAAGTATAGAGGTGTCGCTCTCTTAGCTTGTTTACAAACAAGTTTATGTTGTTTCCGATGTAAAATAATTTGAATTACATTTCTTTATATATGAATTGCTGCTCTGACCAATAACTTTTGATGGATCATGAAGAAAGAAAATCCAACCAGTTCTGCCACTGAAGATTGTTTCCTTCTTCCTCTCCAGTGCTGCTGAAGATATCATTCTCTTCCTCTTTACCTTTCTGATTAACCATCAGGTACAGTCTTTTATCCTCTTCAGTCAAGATCCTTCTTAGTCTTTCATTTCCTTCCCACTGTCACCAGGAACATCTTTTTCTGGTCCTTTCTTCCTAACATATATGCTGTCATTGTAAGAGGGGAGGAGAAATAGTCCCCTTCCCATTGCTGGGGTTGGTGGAGCAAATGTATTCCTGATTTTCTATTTTGAACCAGAACTTATTTGCCTAAAGAAAAAAAGTGCTGAAATTTTAGCAAAGCATTAGTAGCATACTTTAGTGATATTATAGGTTAATAGACATTTGTGGGAATCTCATCTTGTATCTTTGCTTGTTGGAAAACTGTTGTAAGTTCAAAACAAAACCCACAAGGGACCAAACCCACAAGCTATCCAGGCAAAACATTTATCAGTAATGGCTATTGGTGCATAGAGTTTCCTACCTTGGTGCTGTACTTCCTGTGATATATCCTGAGCCCAGACTTTGAGATGACAAGAGTCCACAATAAACCCATAAAAAGGACTCAACTTTAAGTGACACCTGTCACACATAGCCAACCTCAGGGCCTCATGACATAAAATCAAACACTGCTGGACTGCTCCATATCCCAACAATTCTGTATGTACATTTTTAGCTTAGTATGGTATTTTAGAACTAAATTCAATATTTCCTTCCAAATTTTTTCCTTACAATTAAATACATATAAATATTTTGTAGCAGTGTTCCATAGGTCTTTTAGTTGTCCAGCACTAAAAGTCCTGTATGTATATTTGGGAAAGCCTCCATTGTGAATTTTGGAAGAACAGGTCCTCTTATATCCACAATTCTTGGATCCTGAAGTGTTGTGGATCATAGAATCTCTGACTCACAGAGGGAGCACCTGTCCCCCAAAGTAAACATTTTTTATTGCTCTCAAGTTTGTTTCTCTTGACCGAACAATTATCTTTTGGCTTTAAAAAAAATAGGTATGTATTAAATTGTTAAAACAAGTACTTTTTGTCATGAATATACCACATATAAATACTTTGGGAATAACTGCTATTTGCTCTAACATTGGTGTGAACACTATGAATTCTGATGGATGAAATTTCATTGGTATGGGTTATGGATAAGTTACTATATTCATTGTTGTTTTCTTGTTTTGTTTTTTAGAGACAGGGTCTCACTCTGTTGCTTAGGTTGGAGTGAGGTGACATAATCATAGCACATTGTAACCTTGGTCCCTGGGCTCAAGTGATCCGCCTGCCTCAGCCTCCTGAGTAGACACCATGCTTGGCAAAGGTTTTTAACTTTTCTATAGTTTTTAATGTTTTCCTAGACAAAGGATATTTTAATTCATAAGGATAAATTTCAATACTCTTTCTGTTTTTTTCTTCTTACAATCCAATACTTTGGGACACATGTAGAGACCTCGTGATTCTCTTTGGATCCTCTTATTCTCACTAGCTCTTTGATTTGGAGTAATATCATTTACATAAGCATATCCAATTCAATTGATTCAATTCAGTAAGTGGGTTCTAATTTGCTACAACTGTGGCTAATACTCTATTACAAGCTGCTTATAGACACTATGCATGAAGAGCTTATAGGATTATTGGGGAGCAATAGCCATGAAAAAAGTTCAAACAATATTATAGTAGAATGAACCATGGATTATGAATAAAATGCAGAGAGTTTCTCATTTCTCCAGTTATCATTTTTACTTTAAGCAAATGATCTAACTTTATGTGCCTTGATGTCATCAAATAGAAATGAAAATTTTGCATTAGATATTAAGAAGACCTTTGTAAGCTCTAATATTCCACTAGTCTGAAATGATGACATCTCACATTTTAAACTTGCTAAGGAAAATAAATTTTAATTCTTGC